TTCTACTCCAAATGCGGGACTTCAGAGATCCTTATCAATATCAACTTCTATGGTGTCTACAAGCCAATTTGACACATTTTTACTAAGTCAAAGGCAGTGACTTTCGCCAAGTGTGTCCAGTGCTACGACATTGGCCGAAGCCATTCGCCAAGATCAAGCGTGTTTGATATTATTCGCCCGAATATTCATCGCCATCGACTCGTTAGGCATGTGTGTCCTGTCCACTCTGGTGAAGTCTATCGCGAACTTTCCTGTAACTGAACCAATCACACACACCTGAAGCGTCACATGACAAATAACCCTTACAAAAATTGGGGCACGGTAAAACCGTACAGTAAAATTTTTAACCATACAATATTACCGTACAGTAATTTGAGACAGTTTTACTGTACGGTAAAACCAGAACCGTACAGTAAAACCCATAACCGTACAGTAAATCCCATAACTGTACAGTAAAACCATAACCGTACAGTAAAACCATAACAGAACAGTAAATCCATAACCATACGATAAAACCATGGAGTGATAGCGGTTTACCGTACAGTTAAACAGCTTCGACCACGGAAAGTCGATCCATATCAATCAACGGTTAAAAGGCTGTGCACTGCAGAAAGATGCTCCAAATACAGGATTTACTTTCACAAGCAAAACATGCTCCTGCTCCTAACATAAATCCCACACAAAGAAAAACACAAAAAGATTTATCTACTAATCCAATATTTATTTCTTTTGTATCGAATTTACAGTTAGGGTCATCTGGTACATCTGCTCCCTGGATGACAAAATGGTACACACCAGTTTCTTGAATGTCAAAGCTCTAGCCAACAATTTCCTATCTATATCGATACCAAGCTGAAATGTAATATAGAATATTATGAAAATATTTAACTTATTTTCTACGGAATCGAAAAATAAAGTAACGTTCCTCTCTCATGGTGAACCTGAGTGTTATGTCTAAGACATGTTCCGAGAGTTTTTTAAGCATGATGAAAATTTCAAATGTAATGTCAGATCTTTAACAAATTCTACATCAATTATTTCCATGAATTTCTCATCTGGGTTCATACGATGAAATAAAAGGTTTCTTGTGGTACTTATATAGGTGACGAGGTTTTTTATGGACTTGAGAACCAAGATATTTAAACATGGACCTCATTGACTATTTGGTTTTGCTACATCATGAAAGACAAAAATTATAGGAAAACCAAAAGACAAACAAATTACGTCAAGAAAACGGGAAAATAACTTTGTTTGGTGAATTTTGTTGTACTGTTCCCTGAAAGGTGGATTGGTGGTAGTAGCCTCCTTGTTTCGAAACTACTATTAAAAATTTGTGACATCTGTGCCTAACTAATGAGATTCACCATTCTTACAGTAATTAGTTTGTTTATTAAGCAAATGAAGTAATATGAAGGTGATATATACACTGATAATTACAAGTTGTGAGAATGTAATTAAAGAGAATCCTATCAAATCAAAGAAGAACAGTAGGATCATACATTCGTAATGCACAGAATTTCGGAGTACAGAGTTTTTTTTTAAACTGATACAGTAACGAAATCACTCAGGACTAGAAGTAGAATGTCAGTATACTTAGATGACCTCAATTGTTAGCAACAGTTTGCATTTACTTTACATTTGTATTTAGTTATTTTTCTCTTCAAATATAGCGTATGCTGTTATGAAGTTTAAAACAAATTGTAGGATCTTTTCCTCAATAGTGTTTAAAATAACCGGTTCAGTATTAAATTTTAGAAAGTAAATATAAAGTAATTTCAATACCGGTTTAGATCAAGCAGTAATATAAATTTCTCTGTGGTTCAATACCAAACAGTTTGTAATTGGAACCAGTACAACTGAGAGGACGTGGGGTCACATCAGATTAATATGAAGATATGTCATGATTGAGTAGAATCTCATTTATCAGTTCTTCCTGTAATCCTCCACGTTTTCTAACAATATTTATTTTCACACCTAGTCTATGTTGATACTGGGAGCAAGATTTTGCACCTTCTCGCTTCAATTGAAAACATTCGTGAAGTTATTTGATACCATTATACACACTTCCGTTTAATTCTTGGCATATATTGGTGGATGAGATGTCTCCTAATGCTCGAATTAAATCAAAAGCTGGAGAATGGAGTGAAGAAAGTAGAGGATGTTGTTTATCCTTTTCCGAACTTTCCGGAGCAGTCCAGCTTGTCTAGACCATTCCTCTATACTATTTTTTGATGATCCAGAAAAAGATTTGATTCTATATGTTTGAACTCTAATAATGTGTTCTACCACATTTTGTGGAGTAATTGATTGTGATTCAGCATTATCACTAGTATCAGCAGGTTGTTATTGATCTTGAAGCTGTTCTGGTGATATCTTGTACTGCTGGAGCCTGGCTACTTGCCTTCGTTGATGTTCAGGTAAGTGAAGTAGTTCTTCTATGTGCAAAA